GATGCATACCTCTGATCTTCAGGCTGGTTCGCTATTGAGATATTAACGAAAAAGCCGGGGGAAAGAACTTATGCAACAACCTAATAGAAAGAGAAATAAGTCGCAACACGACAATGAAGAAGAAGAACAAAAGATCACAGGCGAAAAAGCAGAGAGGTAAAAAAAACCAGCAGTGCTCACGTAATTGGGTGCTAAATAAAATGTAACTTATGGTGACCATATCCAGAGCAGGCACCGCGCAATGGCTTCGTGTTCTAATCTCTCACTCTCAAATACTTCTTGATCTCCCATTTCTTCGCATGCTCCTTGATTGCACAAAAACGAAAATGACGACCTCATTCAGGGTGATCTCATTCTTATCTGCTTTGTTCTCTGATGTTCAGTCAGGCAACATCTAGAACTCATTTCAGCACTTCACCAAGTTGGACCCCACTACCCACACCTCGCAACCTTGCCAATACGAAGTGGATTCAGTTCACCTATTCCAACGTCGTCAGTCTACATAACCACTGCTGAAGTGAATAGGTAAAGCTTTCGAAATATGCATTACTTCGTATTGACGACGTCGTAACACAGTCATTAGTTATGATAAACGAGTTCTAAGCAAATGTCCAAAGAAAGGATGCTGACAAAAGAACTTTTGCTCATGAAACAGTCATTGAAAATGAAGTCGTGTTCTAGGGCGTGCACATTCCCCTCAGAATTCGGTCAATGTGCCCCATTTACAGGAGTATAAGGCGCATTTAGGCGTGTCTCATAGGCAACAAAAAATAACACTGTCCTTCCTATAGAGAGACAAAGGAATACCATCGCTCGATCGGGTCGTTCTACATTTGATGGGAAAGAATATAGAGGAGAAATATCAATTCCACTAGAGTCAATGTAAGTTGGAGCTGGGAGTGTTTAATAGAGTAGCGGCGTGGTGGTCTCGTGGAACCGGCAACTCGAAAAGGGAGGGGGCTTGGTAAATGTAGAGAGCTCCCAAAGCTCTCTAGATATAAATAAGCTTTTCTGAGAGCCAGATAGACCCCCACTGACCAAATATGAATCCCCCCCCCAGAGACCAAGCATGACGACATGGATTCTCCCAGTGGTGCTGTACCATTGTTCAATGAGCATTTCCCTCTAGGGCCACAGAAAATGTGGTCGTAGACTCAAGAGGATACCACGGGGATCCGCTCACCGAGAAACGTCCCATCATCAGATAGATAAAAATGGCAACGGAAGAAACGCAACGAATGGGAGGGGCTGCGCATGATTAACAGAGAGAGCATGTGTTGTCCCTGATCTTGAAGGACATGTTCTCGTCGGTTTTGTTTAAAGGCAGTTGGCACGATAAATCCCCTAAGACGAGTAGGATTAATACGCCTGGCAGGACGGAATTCCGCGACCCTGAGCAGGCGCTGCGTAGCGCCTTTTTCAAGGAAGGTACGGAAGGTACCTTGTAAGGCCCAACAGGCTAAACATGCCGACCCGGACGCCCACCGCGCCCGCCCGCCCACAAATGGACGACGTACCTGATGCTCGTATTGCTTCATTTGCGAAGTAAAATATGAAGCGAAGGGATTGATATGAAGCGGCCGCGGTGCTGCATGGATATATGAGTACATACGTGCAGCCGTACCTACCGTAGCGGTTATTGGCAAGATGCCTACGGGAAACTCGTCCAAAATTGCTTTCTGAGTCACGAAGGACCAAGGCTTCCTTCACAGGTTTTTGACCGTTTCTCTTCGTTTTTTCACCATTTTCCCGCTCTATAGCTCTGGTAGCATTCTAGGAAGGATACCAAATTATCGTGCCACCTGCCTTTAAGAAACCGTACACGATATATAATACTGCTGCACCGCAGCTGTCTTTTTACTCAGTTTGCAATGGTTTTTCCTCCAACGTACAAATTTTGAAACGGAAACGACGTGACATTGCGACCATGTTGTCCTACGTTATGCATTAGATGAGTTTATATGAAGGAGCTGAAATGGGTACACGTTCGATGGATCATATTCCGAAGATATTCAAGTTACTCCAGTTCTTCAGTTTTTAGGTAAAGCTGGACGCTAATTTGCGTGGTGGACCCGGTCATGTAGGAGGTCTGCGAGTGTGCACATGGAAAACAGTAGCGCTCCCTTCTTCTGAAAGTGTGCAATAGAAATAAGTTTCTAGCAGGGTCATGCACGTCACGGAAGACCGCTAGCTCGGTACGAACGCTTGCAGAGAGAAGAGTCCAGTTCCACCACCCCTCCCCCTTACAGGCTATCGAAGCATCCTTTTCGAAGGGTCATTCGCCAGGCGGTAAGCAGAATTCGTGATTTCTGGAATGGTTCGCACGAAATACTCTGAAGCTGTCACTAAGCTTCATAACAGCTTCACCCCAAAGATAGTAAAAATTCTTAGACGAGAGTTTTTCACCCTTCAATAGCCACTTCTTTCTTCAGACAAACAACAGTGTAAAGCTACGCAATTCCAAAATCTAGAAGATTTCCTCTATCTGATCAGCGCATCGCTTTCGCTGTAGTTCTGCACCAGCAAGTGTTGGGCTGGTTAGAAAAAGAGAAAATAGCAAATCTGCTTCAGCAGCAATGGGACGGTCGGCCAGCTGTAAAGCCCTCATTTCCATTTCAAAGGACTTTCACTAAACCTCCTTTAACGAAGATAAAAAAGAATTGAAACACACAGGCACGGATAGGATTCTCTGGAATGTGCCACGCCCTCGTCTTCATTTCAGAGTAGCGGTGAAATGGAACCATTGATCTATACATTATGGAACTAATGAGACCCAAAGGTTCTAGGGCACATCCGCCCCTGAAAATGTTTCTTGCCGTACTATTCCGAATGCAAATTTTTGCTTCAAAATCCAAAGCTTCGCAAAACCATAGCCAAACGAGCTACTCGTCTTCGCTCTCTACTTCTGCTTGTTATCTACCGCTGAGTAGGTGTTTCGCTGCGGGTTTTCGGCACCCATCCAAGTGCTAGACCATGAGGATAGCGCGACGAATTTCCCCGAACGGGACGAGGGTGCCACTATCCTTTAGCTTCATTTCCGTGCACTTCAAGCGCGCATGGCAAAAACCGTTTTCAGAGTGTACAGTTTCTCTTCAACCCTATCCTTTCCTATGAACGGCAACGTCTGTCTGTCTGCGTGTGCGTCTGTATGTCTGTCCGGAAATTCGGCATTACCTGAAGAGCCGATTCGAGGGCCGGGTCAAGGGTGGGATGGGTAGGGCGTGGGCCAAGATGTACGGAAACACACATGAACTAAGCTAGCCCCGCCCACTGTGGGCGGGGCGTGCGCACAGTTGTGAGCTACATATTTCAAAAATTCGTAATTCGGTTCTAAAAGAGCCCGGAGAGCGGAAAATGTGGGAAACGATAGGCAATCAGTTGGCGGACGAAATGAGGGAGGCACACCCATTATGGGCGGGGCGTGCTATAGGTGGGCGGTGCTTGTTATGTAACCTGCAACATCCGTGGTTCGGTCTAAAAGAGAAAGAAGAGCTACGATAAGTGCCAACAACGCTAGTGCTAAAATTTTATCACAATTTCTATAATATTGCATATGGTTGGTGATTTCCGTTGAACAACAATATACATAATGGAGATTTAATGGGACTAATTTCATCGGTGGAAAACGTATCGATCACAGCACTTTCAATGACATAAGGCTATAAAACGTTGAGCAAAAACACTCATTTTCGCTGCATTAGAGCTTTAAGGGAACCGGGCAAATAGCAAGCACTCGATGAATAGAGGGAGGACGATGGAAAGAGCAAGGAATGCATTAAGCAGATACTAATGATAAGAAACATTTCAATCTATACCGGTGTGATAAGAGAACAATTAAGAAGTCTAACGAAAAATTCGAGAAAAAAACGTGCAGTACAAATAATCAGAACTGTAAATAAAATAAGTCGTCCGACAAGCAAAATCAACTTTCAGTTTTCTCACTAAATTTCCTCCAAACCTGGGCAACCTAGCTAATAACGGGGCGACCAGACAGGCAGAAGCACTAGATTTACCATCAACAGCAAAACCCCTGATCAATCCTTCATTTAAAATTCAATTATTAAACCTTGCTGCTCTTCATTCTACCCCTTACACTGCTTTAAATCGTTGTATTCCAAAAAAAATCCAAAATATGAAGCGAGGGAAAGTGCGAAACAATACTTTCAGCCCCGATACCAAAACTGACCAAGAGGAATGGACCTTGGAATTGATTACAAAGGAAAATATCCAATTGCATATCGGACGACCTCCTACTAACTGAAAAAGACACTAACGTTCATTCCTATGAATGGGGATAAGTCACGACTAGAATTGAAGAAAAAAAAGTTATACAAATCGGTATCGCACAAGGTCACATCAGAAATAACGACGTTTCGGCTTGTCTGGAGCTAAAGGCGCTGCTAAGAGTTCAGGGTTGCGCTCCATTACTCGCGAAATCTGAAACATTACGAGCTTGTAGATCCAGATCCGTCAAATTGAATGGCTAATGAAAAAGAGAATTCCAGCAAGCCCGTAATAGCTACAGACCGTTGATCAATTTTTTTGGGATGCGGTACAAGTTTACTTCCATTCAGAACAGTGGCTATTCAAATGGCTTACACAACGGCTTACGTTAGCCAACCAAGGTAAAACATAGGGTTTTCGTCCTCCCAAACAAGTATGGGTACCATGTTGTCCCGGAGGGTGCACGGCTCTGCTGGCCTGGGCGAGAGTCGATACGGAATTTGATCCTCGCAATCGCGCGCAAGCTAAGCACCGCCTATTGCGACCACCACTTCTTCCCCAGCTAACTAGTTATAAGAAGGGAACTTACTACTCCAAATGGCGGAGTGAAAATCTAGAGCAGAAGCTGTAGTAGCTGCTATACTGGTGCAACTTCAATACACCGTGGTTCAGCCACCTAAATATGCAAGCGCGATCTGGGTTCAATCCCGGATCGACTCCCGCCCGGGTCAATTAGGCCTATTCTCCGGCGATAACTTGGTATCGAACCCGTCTAATGGTAAGGGGTTGAAACACTGACATCACGGGATGGCTCTGCAAATTACTGTGCAGGTCAAAATGTATCCAAAGTGTCAAAATGTATCCGCTATGCTGCATTCATATATTGCGGCAGCGATCACCAGCGTCCACCAGCGACCAATAGCGTTTCGAGCGTCCGTCAGCGCCAGCGACTAGAAAAGTATGGATATTGTTCCAAAGGAAGCCAGCGTCTACCAGCGTCTTCCACCGTCCACCAGCGTCCGCCAGCGACCACCAGCGTCTCCAGAGACTTGGAAAGTATGAATATCGCTCTAGCCTCCATCAGCGTCTACCAGCGACCAGGAATGGAGAGTATGGGGAAGTAGGAGGGCAGCAGACTGATGGTAGAGTAAGGGAAAGTAGGAGGGAGGAGACAGCTGGATTAGGAATTGTGGGGCGTGCAACCGCACCGTGCTACTACACAATATCGTACTCCTGGTCGCTAGTGGACGCTGCCGTTCGCCAGATCGATACCCATACTTTACTAGACTCTCGAGACACTGAGGTCGCTGGCGGACGCTGGTGGACGCTGCCGCAAAGTATGTTTGCAGCCTTATGATACTGCATAGATGTGGGATGCATGGCGCATTCCAAAAAGGATCGACTGATGTCAGAAGCTTCAGCTTTTAATCCCTTACAGCCACGAAGAGAACTACTCTCTAGTGGAACTAAATGAACGAACCAGATTGTCCATGTATTCTTCCATATCGCGTAAACGTGAGTCTTTGACACGTAGCTCGAGACGTAAACTGTCCACAAGAGCCAGCAGGTCTTGTTGTGAATATGCCAACTCATCGTTTCGCTGCTTCTGAACAATAGAACTCTGAAATACATCATTCGAAATAATAAGAAATGATATGTAAATGTTGAAAGAAAAGAAAGATTGAAGGGGAAAGGGGAGCTGCACTATAGGAAAGACGTTGGGGAAAAAAGCGTACCACAAGCAATATAGGTGAACTTTACTGATCACCCACCCCATAAAACACGTAATCGCGCGATTGTTCTCAGTGAGATTCAATACTGGAGCGAAAACCCGTCCACTTCATGTATTAGAACATCTAGACCAGTCAGGTCTCGGAGGACCGTATTAACGACAGAAGCTCCACTTTCGTCTAATTAGTTGGATTTATTGATTTCTTTTTCTTCTCGTGAAAGATCCACTGGACTAAGATAGAAACGAAGAGTACAACCATCTCCTAGCCTACAGAGGAAATCTTGTTCGATCACAAAACCTACAGTATTAAAGACAAACTGAACACTCACATCCGTATATCCTGGTCCTTGCCGTGGTAGGGTGAATGCATTTGTAGCTGCAATTGCGCGCATCTTCCTCCGCTCAGAAATGCACGGGAACTGGGCTGGAGAGCTGTGGTCAGGGTACACCATCGTTGGGTGAAACACCCAGGGTGTCGCACTTTTCCGCTGGGGGTAGTACTTTACCGCTGGGCAGGGGTGCCGTACTTGGTCGTTGGGAGAGGGGGGTCATATAAGCGTTTGAGAGAAAGCTGCGTCGGGGAAAATTTCTCCCGGTTGTTGACTTTCCGGGTGATTTTGGCTGTCACATGTGTACTATATTCCCCCTCCCTTCCCTGCTTGACGGAAAATTTTCGGGTGGAAAAAACTGGAAAATGAGGGAAATTGGTGGGTAGGTGCTGGAGAAGGGGAGGTGTCGTACTAACACCCCCTCTCGGAGGGGGAGGGGGTCGTACCTACACTACCGCTTCACATATCACGAACCCTCTGTGATATCCGGCTGCCGACTCCATACACTGCCTCGCGAGGAGATTGACCATAACCAAATGCGCTGCTTGTCTGCGCCCTCTCGCTTCTGGTTGTTCTTTACTACTTACTGCGATTTAAGATCGAACCGGAACCGCACCTTGAGAATAGCGCGAGCGAAGTCCGAAAAGGCACCCAAACATCATTACTCTCCATTTCCGATCCCGTGCTTTCTTGAGCGAAGTAATTGGCACGATATTGCAGTTGCAGCCCCATTCACGTCACACATAGCAAAGACCGATTGGGCAGGTAAGTGTACAGTTTTCTTCAAGTAACTGTAGCTATAACAGGCCACATCATCGTTACACTCATGCATACAGACACGCACTACAAACGATAACTCAGTGGAGGAGTAATCTAGAGTCAAAGCACATTGTACGTTGGGAACCTCCAACGAGGAGTTTGTATTCTGACGCTGGACGAAGGAACAGGTGGTATTTGCCTTTGAATCCTGGGAAGATTACAGGTAACCCATGGTCATACCAGCAGAACAATTTTTTCTGGGGGGAGGGGGGAGGGGGGAAGGCGAGAGTAGTATTTTGCAAAAATTTCTCCCAATGGCAGGATGAGCTCTGTGTGATAGCCCTAATAAAACAGTTGTACATAGCCTCTTCGATACACACTGCATTATTGAAAGTGGACAAGCAGTGGGCAAGGAACACACCCTCACAACAACTTTGCAGCTACTTATTTATCTAATACACAAGATTCTAGCCTCCCCCGATCCCCACCTCTGATATGAATGGTGGGTGAAAAGGG